GAGCAGCCGGGTCGACGCTTGGAGATTGGAAAATCATCCAGGGCGTTGTGTTGAAGTTTGTGTGACGTCTGCGTCTACAGGTGACAGTGAACATCCAGAAGATTCAGCGTCTTCGACTGAAGAATTAGGTGATGTTCGGGCATCTAATGTAAATGGATAGGTAGCAAAGTTGTGGGTCATCCCTTTTGTATATCGTCGGTGATATTACGTGTTCCATGTGCGCTGCCATCGAGAGAGTTTTGTGAGACAGCGTTGAGAAGGTTCGTGTGGTTTGGTGTTGATGGTTGCGACTCGGTGTCTGGTCTTCCTAGACAATATTCGTGAGGCTGCTCTCGATTTCAATTTAGTCGAGAACCACCACTGTCTGAGATTCTGCAAGAAGTCGCAATTGGATCGCCGTATTCTCTGAGACTTTTTTTTAGAGTGAAGTTTACTTTTTCGAGAGCGTTTGTATTTTACGTTCGAGTTTTGCAACAAACGAACCATTAGCTGGAAACACCTTACAGTATTCAAGACAGTGATTCATCTTTATGAATTTAATATCTGTTATTTATTTATTAACACATTTTTCTGAAAAATCTGTATCAATGCAACTATAGAGAAGAGGCAGGCACTCATCTCAGGACTGTGTTAAATGTAGCTGGTTCTACATTTACCAAGTAATAATTAATATATAAGAAAAAATGTCAAAGGAATGTAAACATTTTCTCTTGGCATTTAAAATTTCCGTTTAATAACGCATGATTTGAGGGTGGAAACCTTACGAATTGTCATCAAAAGTGTAGTAGTCGATTGTATAACACGACATCACAGTATACCACCTGCCAAAGAACTGCAATCGCACGTCCAGAAGCAAGTGTGCATCTGCTTCCAGAAGCAGGTGATCGAAGACGTGAGTGTTATCGAGAACAAAAGCGCGTCGTAGCGCGCCCAGCGGGCGATTCGCCGCATTGCGACGCGTCATCCACAGTGGAGCGTGACAGCCCAGCCTGCGCCGCCCACCATCCACCCAGCCATCCACTCGCGAATCCTCCCTCCACACGCAATCCGCACGGCGCCCACCTCCATTGGGCGGCTCTCGAAAGAGGTCAACATCTCCATCCTGAGGACTCTGCCTCGTTTGAGCGACGAGATCCAGTGAAGTAAACATCAAATGTTAACGCAGTATCTAGACTCGTGTTACGTAACTGGGCGTAACTAGACGAGACTGCGATAACACCAACTGCGCATTTTTCAACGGAACTTGGAGGCTGTGTTCTTACGAGAGAACCACATTTTTTTGCAGACAACGGAAGTATCTTTCCTGTGTGGTGAGGAAACGAGCAATTACCGCAGTACAAGCGACAGAGCCCGTGGGAGTGCGGCCGACACAGGTGTAAACGGGATAAACCAAATCCGTTCGTTTGAAGCGTGCTTCTGAACGGGGGAAGAACGCTTGGCCAGCGACCCTTCCCGGGCATTAGCAGTCATCGCGAGGCAGTCCATCCCTTGGGTCGTCGTCACTTGGTCGGAGGACGTCGCGGAGGCCGGCCAGGCGGACGCTGGACCGACGCCAACACCCACGCGCGGCCGTCGATAGGGAAGTGCGACAGCGCTGAGCGCGGGCGGCCGGCCGGGCAACAGCGGACAAGCGCGGCAATCGAGACCTGCCCCCCCGAGGGCCTTCGCGTCCACCCGGCCCCAAGACGCGCCCGCTCATAGGGCGGATTGGCGAACAATACACCCGCGACGACGACAGCCGCCGTCGGCCAGAACCCGCTGACGCCACGTTGTGTTTGTGTTACGTAAGTGGTCAACCGTCTGCGGACGTAAACAATATACGGGAACTGACGACGTTAAAGAGGTGTTCCGCAGGGTCTATTTCCGTGGCGGGCGCTGTTGTTGAGTGATAGTGGGTTTGTTCTCGCAACTGTTCTAGTGGTTAGTAGTGACAACAGAACTAAGCCAGTAAAAAACATAATTCTTTACTGGAATTAACAAACATTGCCGCTAACTTCTTGTGTCAATAGCTTATAGTGAATGAGATTCTAAAGTCTCCCTATATTATTGGTGTGTGATAAGTGACGAAGAAACCAAACATTTTAGAAAACTAACTCGTTTATTGGATACAATTGTTCAGCGAGTTCAACTGCAGCCACATTTCTCCAGTGGATCTAGCTGCAGCAAGAGAACAAACACTTACAGAATTTTCCGAGTTTCGTGTTCGTAATCGGTATACATCGTTCGTGACGTTTAACCTAATCGGTTTCGCTTCGCAAAGAGAGCACCACGGTTCGCGATGAGGTGCTGTCGCCCGTGAGCGCTGGCCGCCGCCATGGCACGAACCACGCCCACCGCATCACCGCCGTCGCCGCCGCCGCCGTCGCTGGCGTCGCGGTGCCTGGCGCTGCTGGTGCTGGCGCTTCCGCTGGTGCTGGCCGCCGCCACTTCCGCCGGAGGAGCACTGGAGACGCTGGACTTCCAGGAGCAGTGCGCCCAGCGCTGCCCGTTCCAGGTGAGCGTTTCTCAACACTTTATCTTTTTTGTCTATTAATTTTCTTCATCACATTTACAATCCATTTATTGTTTGAACAGAATCCACATTTTCAATGACGATTGACGACTTTCTAATTAACACTGTTCTCTCAAAATGTGTTGAAATTGGTTTGGTGATTTAACGCAGACAGGCTCTTCTACCATTGTATCATTTTTAGGGTTCCGAAATACTCTATTTCTCACAATCGATTTATATTGTAAATTTGGAAAGTTAATTGTTTGGCTAAAAATGTACTATATTTTAAATGATGCCTTGCTTATAAATACAACTCTTCCAAATAAGCCTATGCTGAACGTGTCTAAGATAATATAACTTTGACAGATTCTGTTATTTTTATAAAATAGAATAACAGTGATATTATATTCGTGTGTTCTTCAAATATCTTCACGTCCTCGTATTCGAGAAATTGTTTGGTGTTGATGTATTCTTTACTTTCTTATTCCAAAATGTTGGTCCAAAATAACCACGAGTACTCATCGTACGTAAAGTAATTTTATGTATTAGAAGTAATTGAAAATAATTGTATGATTCGATTCAGTAACAAGAAGTCCTCGTAAAAATCAATCAAAATTATATATTATTGTTCATTACAGCTTTTTCTTGCAAATATCGTAATTTTATAAAACATATTTGGAATAAATATGTTTGCAATAATCTTCAATGAATTAATTTGGGTTCTAGAGTGTTCCTTTAGCGGAGAGTCCTCCTTAAGCGATTTTCTTCCTGTCGAATTAAAAGCAAGAATTTTGAAGTGATGGCGAAACTAATACTGTGAGAAATGTTATGGGAAGATAGGCTCGTTCAGAAACTGAGATTGTAAGCCTACCTAGGCCTAGAGAGATTGGATTTCCTAAATTCTTGTAGTTCAGTGCATATTTTTTAGTACTGTTTATGTAAACATTGTGACAGAAATTAAAGAATATAAAATCTTCACCACTAATAGTTACATTGAAAAATACGGAAGTTGAAAAATAGGTTAGTTTGCCACTGATTCTACAAAAGTTCATTCTAGAATACTAAGACAGTCTAAGACTTCAATGTTATTTCATTTAATAGACTTTTATCTGTTCAAAGCCAATTTCATCATGACGCGTCATTTGCCTGACATGTCAGATGTTCAAATCGGTCTTGCCCTCTAAGAACATCAATGCTCTTAATCGAAACTTACGTCCAGATGAAAGGCCATTTTCCTAGTTGAAAGCACCTCAAGTTTAACCTTTATCTACAAAGAAGTGTAAAATTTAATGGGTATTTCGACTCTCATTCCTTTTGATTATTTTAGGCAATCTTTCGATTCGTACTAATGTCTTTTTGTTTTTCTCTACTGCATCTGGGAACATGTCTATATTGCAAATTTTTCTTTCTTCCGATTTCATGACCAATTTTGAATTTTGCGTTCCATTTTATTTCACTGGCAAGGGAGAAACGTTTCTTGAGTGCGATTTTATATTTGTCTCGATAAGTGAACATTTCTCGCCTCCTTCACGCCTAACCAAACGTTGGAGAAGAAAGATAGCACAAATTTGGAAAAAAAAAATTTCTTCGGTAGATGGATTCACACATTCTGAATTTTCACGCTGTTCATAAATTAAAAGCAACGTTCCTTTAATGTGAATGCGTTGTAATACAAATCACAAAATAAATATTCTTGGAAAAGGGTGACATATGAAGGTGGTAAGATTCACACCGTATAACACACAGTTCAATGGTAAAATGCTGACAAAATGTTTTCCTTGACGTTACATTATACGTTTTTCGAGTCCAGTATTTAGATCAGTTTCATGTTTGAACAGACCCCTCCTTTTTTCACCTTCTCTTATCTCTGCCTTCATTTTTCTCATATTCCCAGTCTCCAATTCTCCGCTCGTCACCTTTGTTACTTTGTTCTCTCCATATTCTCCATCTTCTTCATTCCAATTTCTCCCTAAAATGTACCCTTCTCTTTGTAAGTATATGTTGAGATAATTTTAACCTTTTTCCGTCAAATTGTTTAGATTATGGTTTTCTTTTTAATAATGAAACACAACTTTTCCTTCGCATTGCATCATAAAGCCACATTTCTAAATTATTTCTTGTCTTATTATATTTTGTTATTTTTGTTACGTTTTTTCCTTTTCTTCACACTAGACAATGTGCTATCTTATTTTTCGCTGGTACCGTTATCTCTAAATTTAAATTTGTGGGCCCATAATTACTTGGCTTCTGTATCACATACGCCGACCCTTCACAGCACATCTTACTTAACTTCGTGAATACACGAGTTGGGTAACTAACAGCTACTATGAATAAAAGATGAATTGTTCCTCCATTTGTCTCTGTCATATTTCATTCCGAGTACTAGTTATCAAGCCTTCTCTACTCACCGTACACTTAAGCCTCTTCGTGAACTCAGAACGACTTTAAAATGTTTTTAAAATTTTGATGGAAAGAAATCAATAGAAATACAATAAAAGAAAGTCATTTCCGTCGCATAAAAACACACATAACGGCATGCATATCACAGTTATGTACGCCAGCTCATATACGTGAGTACTGTTTTTCCTCCAAATGAATGAACCAAAAATATATAGTACATTTAATTAAAATAATATTTATTACAAAAAATTGATTTGTCATTAAAACTGAAAACGAGTCCTGACGATGACCAACATATGGTCGAAAACACTTTCACACACGTAATTTAATCGAAACGTGACAAGTCTATTGTTCAGTCTATTGGTTATATAAATTTCACAGAACCTTAGGATTAGACGAAGCGCTATTAAGACCCCACTAATTCACATTTAACCTCATCATCTCACTCTTATGGCTATAAATTCTTAAAACGGATGGCATTTTTTGCCATTCCAACATGACATTTTTATCAACTATTTTTATCCCACACGGAAATGATCGTTCGCAACAACACTCCACAAGCACTCACGTGCTGTATTTATAGTTGGCAAATAATTGAATCTGCAAGAAATAAGTATGACCTCGATCTCTGTGACCTGCGATATTCCGCACCACTTGTAGCCATGGTAGTACTTCGTAGATTTGACATATCGCAAACTAAGTAGGAAGACAGATCATCTGGCTACAACTATAAACTTTAACCACAGAATAGAATATTCCTAATTATTATTCTGCAGAAGTAGAAACGCCAGAAAAATAATACAGAATAAAATGCCGTCCCTAAATTGTAATGATTGAAATGATCTTCCGAACGATGAGGACACACATTGCATTCGGATAGTAGAGGATAGTAGCTGTTTACATACTGGCTACAACAGATCTGTTTATTTCATCGTGCAACTGAGACGCACATTTGCAAAACCCACCTTAATCATCTTGGAATATTTTTGAGGAGAAGGAAAAATCAGTCTTATTCGTGGTCTTATTTGGTCAGTGTCTGGGTTATGATAGGTACTAAGTTATACACAAATGTGTAAAATACCTAAACTTTCATGAATAAAAAATGGCTAAGGCGGGTTTTGTGACTCTGTGCCTCAATTGAAGGGCTTTAGATAGTAACAAGACAAGACACCAGCCACAGCAAACCTCACTCTATTTGTAAATGATAATAACTCAGTTTTGCCGACCTGGTTGGCCGAGGTGGCTAAGAGCGTGTAGCGGGTTCGAGTCCCGCCATAGGCATTGTTGTTTGCGCCTTGTCTCTCATATATGTGTTGTCGCGGAGGGCCTCGCGTTCTGCTGATCCCAGAACAGAGGAGCCTGCAAGTGTGTTAGTGTCTAGTATATGAACGAATATACGTCCCATCGGGACGTAAAGGACAACCGACTGTTGGCTGGAAAAAGCCCTGGGAAAAAATACTCAATTTTACGGAAAGTGGGATATACCTTGTTACTATTTATATCCTGTTGATATTTATGAAGAGCTTAGGACAGTAACAAAATGAAACACACAGAATCGAGATATTGCCGTTTATGAATAGCTGGAGCCTTGCTCTGGCTAGTATGGATATTGAATTTAGTATGGATACTTAATAACTTAATTTAATATTATTTACATTAAGGAAAATATTTATTTTAGCAATGAAATGTAATGAATTAGTTAACGTTTATACTGTAAAATTTTAAAAGACTAAATATGCCTAAAACAAGTACTGTTTTTCAGCCTCTTAGTCAATGACACACCTCGATCAGGTTTTCACCGTTTTCGTGACCCATTGAGTAGATGCTGAGATGGTCCCTTGTTTTGCCTCTGGACCTCTCAGATCTTCACTATGCGCACGTTGTGTTGATCTCTCAAAGTTGATAGTTGTAGTAGAAGTGGAGCCTGGTTTGTGTTACTATTTTGCTAGCATTACTAGAAAACCAAATCTGTAGTTCGTTTACCAACATAAATTAGTTTTTTATATCTCTGGAGCGAAAATATCCAGTTTTTAAATGTTGCTAGCCTCACTTTTATTACATCCAGTTGAATGATGAATAAAACTTGATGAACTGAAAGATTGCCAAAGATGATTAAAAAAATAAAATGCTCTTAAATTACTGTAAAAGTGCTATAAAACAAAGAAAAATGACGTAAAAAAATTGATCAAAAGCACTTCAGATAAACAACTCAAGATGTTGGATGTGTTACAAATGTAATCGAGGCTTCTTCCTTTTGTTCAAGTGAACTCAGCTTGCAAACTTTTGGTTTGGACTGTTCTTTAGAAGAAAATCTCTGCCTTTATTGATCGCGAAATCAGCCGAACTGACAATGGCAGCGATAGGCGTCACAGGAACCTTAGATTACGTAGAAAGATCGTACCCTCAACGGCTGAGGTCACAATATACGAGCGAAGAAACTGAATAGGCCACTCAGGAATTCTATGTTGAACCTCGAAAATATTGTTTGAAGCAAGTACCATTAAAATAGTATTAATAGCGATATAATCTGCGAAAAATGCATTAAAAATGACTAAAAAAGGTTAAAAAAAATGACTTACCGAAATTTACGAAAAATGCAAGAA